GAAATTCCATTTCGTATACACGAACAACTCAGGACACATACCCAAGTAGCAATGTCGTCATCAATCACCACGAACTTGCATTGTGTAAGACCCAGAAGTATAATGGACGTCGCAAACCCAAACAGTGGTACAAAAGATGGGTTTTCCTCAAATCGCACATAGCGATCTTCGTGTGTAGGGTTCACTACCTCCACCACTATAACTGAATATTGAGCACGAAACACAAGTAACGGCTGATTTTCTCGTGTGCGGCTGTCATGGCGGCTGTCATGGCGACTAATCACATCGAAAGGTGACATGGGCGACTCGGGTGACAAGGGCGACATTGTTCGTACTGTATGAGAATAACCGGAACTAGAGACCTACTTGGTAATTAAAAATGTTGTGCTGTGATGTTTCTAAATTACAGCACAAACCGGTTTCCTGCATATGATATATAAGCTTGAAAGTATATGTCTTACTCACGCCACACCCTCCTTGCGGACGTAATGCTGCAAGTATACCTTGGAAGTGCATAAGGAGGTTTCTGGCTGCACAGGAAGTCTTATACGGAGTACAACAACGGCTACTCAATCAGTAAGGTTTGGTGTCATGCATTTGGTAGTATAAACACTTTCACAATAGAAAGCATGAGCATCGATAGATAGACAATTATATATAACTAGCTCGAAATTGTAAACCCTTAGTGTGTACAAAGCTGGGACTAGGATTGCTCCGATTCAAAGTGCGTCAACCATTGAGTACAAGCTCGGTCGACTGAGCTGTAAGGGTTTGCTTACGTTGTCTCTATTGCCTACCCTGTAGTTACATATATATATTTGTATATCTAGAAGTAGTAGAGATTGCCACTCTCTCTACTAGTAGTAGTGGCTAGAGTGACTAGTCCCATCAACCACGCACTGCGCACAGGCCAGTACCACAGATTTCATTCTACAGTGAGCGGACTAACCATTCAATTTCAAAGAAAGTCATACGCTCACGCGAAATACGGGGAGATTACGAGCAAGAGCACTAACTGCAACGATAATTTACGTTGTAACGTATAAAATCTTGTATTCGTTTACGGTCAATGTTCGCTAAAGTTTGGTTCTGTTTGTTTGGGTGCCATATTGGGCTACATAATACATTTGTACACCATCTCATGTTATAGTCCGATTATTAGGAATATATAGGTCAGATTCTTTCTGCCCCACTTTTACGTTTTAACGTATACAAGCCTATACATACTTCAATACCTACGTTTAACGTATATGTATGCCGATTGCCGAGCTAAACCACAAGTCCACAGTTGAACGCGTATTTCATGAGGTTTTTACCTTTTACTTTTTAGGAGCAGTTTGAATTGAAGCAGCTCTGAAATCCATCACGACATTCTGATTGGCCAATGCGAGGCTTCTGGAGTTTCGAACATCCATTGCAAACATGGCGTCCACCCCTATGACTCGTATATGAGTCATCAACTTTCACTTCATATTTTTAGATTTGTCAGATAACGTCATTAGCTCATGACGTGGTCATCTCTTGTGTTGACGAAGGATGTTTTATCCCCCGCCATATATTATGTACTGTCAATTTTAATAGACCACATTAAAAACATAAAACCAACATGGTTACAGTGGTATTCATCTTACTTTTATCTACTACTCGGCACTCGCGCGCGCGCGAGAGAGAGTCAGAGAGAGAAAGAGTCAGAGGAGAGAGAGACTGAGAGAGGGATAACTGGAGAAGGGTCGTATATGTATATGACACGGACTGTGACGGACACCGTTGCATTGCGCTAAGACTGAAAATGTGGAACATAGTCATTATAGCTGATATGCCCAACAACATTTTACCTTCTGGACGAAGACCATCACGTTCTCCGTAACGTGCTACTACGGGACGCTTTCGGTTAATTTGAGTTCAGGCATCTGTCTCGTACGTGATTTTGAGTCAGCAGTACCCTTTTTTGGCTCTAGGTATATTATATATGACTTGTTGCTTTCAGTGATTTTTTAGACGGCTATGCTTTCTGCACTTGACTCATACTTTGTGATTCCGGGTCTGTATTTTCCCCTTTGTGTGGTTGTCTCGGCTTATAATATGATTGTATACAATACAAAAATGTCTCCCAACTTTTGATTTAAAATTACCAATACCTTGTCACCTCCCACGAAACCGAGTCAAAGAATTGCTTTAACACTTACCCAGCAAGAATGCGCACATATAATTGAGCTGGAGAGTATTGCCAACCCACGGGGTCTGCATTACCATTGTTATACTCTTGCGTGAGAGTGATGTGTCGATAACAGTTCTACCGGTTGTTGGCCTTATTTGTGTTGTAGCCAGAGTGTAGATTGTGGCAACTACTGCAGAGGGACTGTGTTTGAGCCACATTCAACGGTATGCGGACGATGGTATCTAACTAAAGTTTACGTGGTTTAAAATGACAAGATCCCAGGGCAATATTACTTGATTGGGCCCTCGAACATGTCTTATGTTACTAAGAATATGCCAAAGCTCTTATGTTACTTAGAATATGCCAAAGCTCTTATGTAACATAGAGTATGCCAAAAAAAATGTTCTATTAAAAAAATCCATGACTACGACTTTATTACCCGGCTTAAATAACCATTCGGTACGCTTTGGTACGTTTTCGCGAAGTATGTGTCGCTGTTCTCGACCAAGAACCTGTGTGTGTATCATGGTGGATGGTTTAATAGTGTCTGTTGGTGGGGTGGTTTAATAGTGTCTGTTGGTGGGATGGTTTAATAGTGTCTGTTGGTGGGATGGTTTAATAGTCTGTTGGTGGGACGGTTTGATAGTGTCATCAACTCGTGTGGTCCATTCATATGTGGTCACAGGTACATGGTGTTTACTTAGTACAGCGAACAAAATTGTTCTTTACTTTAGCCTTCAAATACTCAAGACAGGTAGAAACCGCCGGCTGATGAGTATAGCATCACAAAGTGAGCGACTACTAGTTTATAGCGCAAGCGCACGGGGGCAAGGGTCGAGATACCCTTGCGTAAATCAAGCGGAAAGTACAAGTTTAAAATGCAGTCGCAAACCATGCGACACGAATTCGCACTCTATATCAGACCATCCACGCGAGTAGGTATAAACTCGCACAATCACATCATTACAAACAAGATAACAGCCTCGTCGTTGGTAGATTAAAAAGGTATGCTTGGCATTGTTAGCTCAGTGCGTGCAATCCGCTGGTCACTTACTTCAGAAACTCCTGCAGATGCGCTAGAAGGGTCTCCAGAGAGGGATCTTGCATGTTGGTGTGGGCAAGCAGTATTGGTAGTTTCACTATAACGGAGTGGGTATAGATAGAGAGGTATGATTGAGTTGTATAGTATTCCCGCGTCCTAATTTGTAGCCTAATGCCTTACAAAAAGGTTTCAGTTTTGTGTATGTATAATACACGTATATATATATATATGTGTGTGTGTGTATATATATGTATATATATATATAAAGTGATACATCAGAATGACAAGAAATTCAAGTTCAGAAATAAACACAACTTCAATGGTTTCTTTCTTAAACCATGAAGCCTAATGTCACTTCCAACACATGCCAAATTACTCGCCCGGTAGCTCATCGCTGAACGAATTCAATACGAATTCACTGCAATCAATCAACACCGAGAGATTCTAGGTAGACCAGCAAGTACGTATAAGATATCTGAGATATGCACCGCAAATAGACACCGGAAGATACATCAAATAGCTACATAGACAGACCATTCAACGCGACCTAGATACCCAGCCTTTGCGTACGACTAAATCTATTTGAAACACTTAACGTATTCCACACAAAACTACAGATACGCACTAGGTACATACGTAAAAATATATATAAATAAACGTACCGAAACTTGCTATATATAGAGGACTGATACATACCAAATAACCTAACCAGATGCTCGGCTCCGTATAAATCGCACGCGTCCTTCTCAATGTGTTCTTTGGTGAGATCAGTATGCTGGGGCCGTTCGAAGTCGTACAACAGTAGTGTGGGGAGAGCCTGCTCAAAGTATATCCTTAACCCAGACACCACTTCTTCGATTATCTGTTCTCTGCACAGACAGTGCACATAGCATGCATCAGTGCTTCATTGACATTGGATAGTTGGTTAGAGCGTCCACGTTTAAAACACCAGCCGTTCTACGACTCACAGCGCCCACCCCACGAGCGAAGCGAGTACGGGAAAGCGCGTGCTGAGTACATGATTGGCAAGTATAGAAGGAAAGCGTACATCTATGGGACAGGGGGAGTGTACTAGGTAGAGCAAGAAACTGGCCTCAAACAAGATGAGCGTGCACGAACAACGAATGAGAACAAAGTTCAAAAGTCTTTGCGAAGGGTGATATACAGTACACTTCGGCGTGTGACCGTGCAAAAAGGGCAATCGTGCTGTGTTGAACGCAGAAGATTCCCACATGGCGATGTGTGTTTGGTATTGGATTTCACTTTCTACTATAGTGTGCTCTCGCACGTCGGTGTATTGTGTATCAACTACCACAGGCTTACACACACTTGGTTACCATACGCTTCTTGGCTATCAATTCATAGGCCGTGGAGGATGAAAATTAGGAATTGCAATAGTAGCTAATGGTGGCGTGCGTTGACAAGACTCTTCAAACCCCGTTTATACATACTTGTATTCATGAATATGTACTCTAAGTTGCCTTTGCACTTTGCAGCACAGCCCGAACAAAGGTTCCCTACTGATGGTATATTATACTACGAGCGCTATCGACAAGTAATATGCCGTTTGAAACGATTAGAACGGCCCGAGATATGTATGCACATACTCGATCCGAAGTTCCGAACTTTTGCAATACTCGACGAAGTCATCGAGAATGGTGCTCACACTGGGAGCTCTGGGAAGAGGAACCACCTTCGCCATCAATAGAAAGCAATAGCGTTAATGAGATGAACCGTCACGATACTGTAATTGCATATGAGCTACTAAACAAAACTTGTACATTGCTGACCGAAAATAAATAGTCGCATCTAGGTTACCAAGATTTTCTTGTACAGTGCAGTTCGAGAATATGGAAGAGCGTATAGTTACTGAATTTGCTTGTACCTTGCCGTTCGACAACAAGTAATCGTATACGCGATAGCAAGTCAGAAGCAACAAGTTGTCTGTGCGCGCGCAGATTGTTCGCATTAATGATAGACCATGTGTCAAAGTGGTATACTTCATACGGAACAATGAGAAACTGAAACTTGACAACTAACCGCATACATAAGCGCCTACGTTTTGTACCAGGCATTTGATACTGTTTGCGTAGAGATACGACTTTCATGTGGCACACACAAGCATACATAATACATGTACAAGGAAGGAAGAGGGAATTTAACCACTCGGGGCCATACGCATGTACTAGCATCTTGAAGAAAATGTAAATGTCGTTTATATATATATATATACATATATATATATATATATATGTGTGTGTGTGTGTGTGTGTGTGTGTGTGTGTGTGTG